GTATTATATTATGTTTATCAGTCCTATTATTAGTTCTAATGACCGTTACCAAAGTCTGTAAAACTGACAACACTGTATTTATGATTTATCTGTGTGTATTTTAATAAAAAAAACGGTTACCTACGGCTTGAGTGTTTTGGCTGAATGCCATTAATTAAATAAAATGACTCGACTTCTCTTACAGAACTAAACATTTATAAAAGATTTGCTTACACTTTCAATCAAATTCAAACCGGTTTAATGAGATGTTTTAATTTTATTTAAAATTTAAATCACTATATAGCTGTTATGTTTTGTACAACAATATTGACTTTCAAATTATTTACATGTTTGTTATTACTCCTGCATTATTGATGTAGGTATTTCAGTATTTTTCATTTGATATACAGTATGGTAATATAGCGAAATTTACCATTTCATTATTTTAATATTAATAATATTGTTGGTGTCTGATATTATTGTTAAACGCGCACAATAATTGTGACTGGAGAAAATTGAAATGTGTAGGTTCTAGATATAAATGTATACCTAATAGGTGTATTAGGTAATGTATTGGTACATTTTAAAATAAACTTCAACATTTCAAACAATAAAATATGTTCATAAAGTGATGACTGATGATTATTAAATATTTTATATAGGTACTATACCTAAATAGGTAATACCGTAATAGGTATATCTAATGATTTATTAGTAATTAACAAATTGAAGTACTTATTGGTCAGATATTATATGATCCATGCAACAATACCTACCTTGTATTGAAATTCATCTATCATGCTGGGTATAATAATTAATAAATAATAATAATAATTTACTCTTGAAATGAATGAAAAATAAAACAAAACCTGTTGATTTAATTTATCGGTACTATATTATATTTAAAATCGATTACAACTATCAAATTATATTATGTTGAATTTTTTTTATTTCTAATAACGCACTAACACTAAGAACACTATTTTATAACATTTTAAAAAAAGGCCGCACTTACGACAGCAAATTTTCGTTCTCTAGTTTCAATAGTATGCTTTTATTTTTGATATTAGAGTGAATTGACCTATTATAACATTTTTAGATAATAACAGTATCTGCAGTGCTTAAGCGTTGGCTTTTATTCAATACTTTAATTTTCAAGCGAGATATGAGCATTTTTAATTTTTGATATTTCACATACACATATCTTACTTGAAAATGAAAATATTGAAAAATCGTCAACGCTTAAGCACAGATAATGTTATTATCTAAAAATGTTACAATAGGTCACTATAGTATTAAAACGAACAACACACTATTGAAACTACTCAACGGAAATTTGGTATGTCGTGCGTGTGTAAGACGGAGACAACAAATACAAGAGTAGCGTCCTCTTAAATTGTTTTGAGACAATATTTAGACAAATTGATATGTCATTTCCTCAAAAATATTATTCTCTATCTTTTTTATAATGGATGATTTTACTCTTAAGATGTGGTGCGTGGGCCAGAGAAAGAAAACAAATAGTGCTCTGACATTCTCTTAATAATTATTAATCGGTCGGTTTTTCGGATGTACCCATTTACCAATATAGCTGGTAAAGCTTACATGACGTGACCACCTTTATATTATTTATTATATTTAGGTTAATATTTTCAAAATACTGATATAAAGAAAAGAAACATTTTAGATTTTTGAAGTACCTATATACAATACTACAACATATGTATATGCCTAACCTAACTGTTACCTATTATATTATACGCATCAAGGGGCGTATACAAGGGGTGGAACGTGGGCGTCAGATCCCACCACAGGTCTTTTTTTTAAATTTTATAAAATAGTGTTCTTAGTGTTAGTGCGTTATTAGAAAACATAAAAAAAATTCAACATAATATAATTTGATATTTGTACAGAATCGTTTTTTCTATGTTTTCAAGTAATATTAGAATAAAATCACTCATTACAAAAAAGATAGAGAGTCATATTTTTGAGGGAATGACATATCGATGTGTCTAAATATTGTTTCAAAACAATTTAAACATAATTTAAAAGTACAACAATGTTTTGTTTATTTTGAAAGTCGAATACAAAGTCAAATAACAATAAAATATAAAATCGATATGTCATTCTCTCAAAAATATTAATTTCTATCTCTTTTGTAATGTTTGATTTTACTCTAAGATTTCTTAAAAACATAGAAAAATGATTCTGCGTTAATGCGTTTTGTTTATGTTGCGCGTGGGCCAGAGAGAGAAAACAAATAATGCGCTGACATCCTCTTAAACTCACGATGGAATATACATCATATTATATAGGTAGTTATATATATATCATGTGTTATTTTTTAAGACGGTATTCACATATAAAGTTACTTTCAAATTATATACTCTGGGACATCACCAGGAACCTGTTAAAATGGGCTGTACCCGCTGCAGTGATGCTGTGTATAAAATATTTTGTACGACGACGAAGCGCGATGCGTTGATTTAGTAGGTAGGTACCAACATATATGTATTATATTATGCTTATTCTATAGTCTATAATGTTAATATCAGTAAGTAATATTGTAATAACTTATAGTAATGCATTTTATTAATATATATATGTACTATTGCAGAGTTATAAATGACATATTATTAAATATTGTTAAATAAAAACATGAAACGCATGTAGTTAATTGACGAGAGACGACCCATTATTAAAATATTATATTATCAGCGCGCGGAGGTTCCGATTCCCAGCCCGCCTCTGACCAATAATTGTATGTACAACAGGTGGCCCATTACACGGGTGTTCACAATATTTTAAATACGCAAGTCCGGTCAAACGAGGCGCCGGCGTCGTGTCGTGCTCACTGAGGCGCTTGACCTGCCACCTGCCTCCCCGGACCAGTACCTGGTCAACATTTATGTTAATTCGATTGTTGCGTAAGCGACTGCATTTCGTAAGATGTAAGACTATGTGTATACGACTATCATGTATATTATTATAATATTATTATCAAAATGTTTTTAAAATATTTCAAAATTATTTTGGGAATATTATCGATATTTTTAAATTAGGTATTCGTAAGCGGTATTATTTTTTTATTTTTGAGAATCATTTAGCATATCGTCCCAGAGGAGGTGATTTTCATTATTTTCCGAAAATGTTTTTTTTTCTATGGATATTGATTTGATGTATTTCAATATTTTTATATTGTTCAAATGTGATTTGTATAAATCTGATTAATTTTTTTTAGTTTTGAGTTTTAATATTCTGTTTGTATTTCTTGATGTAGGTATAGTTACTTATCGATAACGCTAATGACGGAGTATAATGATATCTATACTTGAATAATTGTCAATAGTTGTGCACAGTGCACTTGTGCTTGGAAAGACTCCGTAAATATTATCACACCTGAGATTACACTACAATTGAAATTTTAATTACCACTTGTGTCCAATTGCCGGTCAGAGTTATTAATTTTCACGATAATAAAGTTCGATGCAAGGAATGTCGTAGTCGGGAAATGCAAAGGACTATAAAAAAAATATTATTGGTATTTGATTGATCCTAGCATTCAGTAGGTACCTACCTACGTTTTAGTAGCTTGAAGCTAATATTATAAGGCGGAATTCTTTGACACCTCGCTCCCTCCTGTATAGGAACTCAAACATAATAATATAATATCATCAGTCACTCAAACCTCAAAAATATAAAATAAAATACAATTATATAAATTAATCAAAAATTAAATGGCTCACCTATTTTCTCATAAAATATTAAAATAAGTATTAAAAACTAGATTGAATAAAATATAGCATATAATTGCAATACGGCTTGAAATTACTATTGCGGGAAGGGCTGAACCCTTTTATGTCACGTCCTCTTATTTTTAAGTCTTCACCCAGGAAATTAACCTTTCGGAGTACTATCTTTCAACTTCCTTCGAGTACCTACGAATTACGATGTACGTTATTATTATTTATTATTATTATTATTATTATTGACAATTTATTGTTATAGGCAATTAATACCTACTTCACTAATCACTAGCCACTAGGTATTAATTAATTTATATTTTCTCATATACGGACTGTGAGAAAAAAACTGTATCTACAGACAAATAGACAATTGAACGCAGACCGCGGACGACGGCGTCGAAGTGTTATGGTCGACCGATCGAGTTGGTAATATAATTATACGTTATTACACACAGCTTATTATTATAATTTAGAGTTTAGACGATCAAATAATATTATGTTGTTGGTCGGCGGTGGCTGTACCGCACAATTCACGAATCATTCGAGTAGGTATTTGCTATCGGTCATGTGTTGTAAACCACTTAGTTTATTATTGTAACTGCTGCCGTAGTCGCGGTCGTTGCTTTCTGTCTTTCGCAGAATATTTGTATACTCTGTGCAGTAAGTAGTAGAAACTAATATATCTATTACAGCTTCGTTGTTTGGTTTTCGTGTTATTTCGTTCATTATCAACACCACCACCCACCAGTTGTTGTTGTTGTGTTGTAGCATTGGCTATTGCGTCACTGCTATGCGGTGGTTTTCAACAATAATAATAATAATAATAATAATAATAATAGTAATAATAATAATTACGGGCACGTGCGTCGCGGGCATTGCCTTATCATTATCGTATCAAACGGAATTATTGTTATGCGGAAAACCGTTCATTATCTAGTTTCACTACATTAATAACAATTATTATTACTCTGTTTTTGCGATTTCTGATGGCTGCTGACGAAATACGTCAATAATAATAATCTTTTCGTTAGGTATCCGTAGCCGGACGACTGGCTGAGTAACAGATACCATTATTATATATTTTATTATACGCCAACTGTGTAGGCAAGTAATACAAATAGCTAAATACCTATGTTTACCAATGTTATAATTATATATTATGCAAACGAAATGACCAGTTTTCATCGACATTTCGTAGAGTGCGATACCACCGGTAGTGCTGGTATTATCGTTTAGCATACATGACGGAATAATTATACGCCAACTACATACACGATGGAGGCGTCTGACGATAGCGATAATAACAGTAATTGCAGTAGTATAATGACATCGTCCACGGATTCCGATTCCGATTCCAGTTCTATGCTCTCTGTAGTTCTCAACGACTCCCAGACACAGGTAAATCCTTCAAACATATCAATAATTATATGTATTTTATTCGCGTATAATTGTGTGCAACAGGATAATGATGGACCTGAGACGTTTACTTATGCTGCACCACTACCCGTGGGATCCTATGCCCTTGCCTCATGCGTATATGTACTGATTGACAAGGGTAGATCGATGAGTGCAGACATGCGTGTCATGTGGTATTTGAAACGTTTGGGTACCATACAGATGGTAGACGACGACTTGGATGTTGAATCACCTGAGCAGTGTAAAATCATGTCATTTATACCCAGAGAAGAAAATTTGGATAAAGATGGCTTTGCAAATTCTATTTTTGTTATGGATGCATTTACTCGTGTTTATTTTTTGACAGCAGTATATAATATGGTATATTGTTTAGATATGAGTCCATCAAACTGTTCAGTGGTAAGAATACTTATAATACTTACTTACTGTTAATAAGTATTACATCTGTTCTTATATATTATGGTTTTAATTTTTGTCTAGGACATTCAGAGATGTCATGTTATGCTTGATGAGATGACTGTAGCACTGCGTAGAAGTATCAAGGGGTTTATCAGGCCTGTATGAATTATACATTTTTTTTGCTATTGCTTTTTTTTTATTTCTCCTTTAATTTTTTCTGATAGTTTATTGTACCTGGATCTGATAAAATAGTTTTTGAACCACAAGTGTATGTCACAGTAATAGTACATACACCATTTTACACATCACCAGCTCAACAGGTTTGAAATATTTCATTAAATAAAAATACAATAGTAATATGTATTAATTTTTTTTAAATTAGGTATTGGTACAAGGATGGCTAATCAATAATCGTAACTTTCAAGAGTTCATCAGAACTATCACAACAGAAATGAATCATCTTGAAAATTCATTAGCAATGACAAAAAAAACTACACGAAAACCTAAGGTAAAATAGATATACTTTTTTCCATGTCTAATTAATTTTAAAGATCTTAAATATCTTAAAAAAAGTGTATCTTTTCATAAGTTTCTTTTTACTATACTATATTTCTTTATTATGTTAAAAAAGATGTCAACACACTTTTTTTCTTTAATCCCTGTACAACATAAACAAAACATGTTTACGTATGATCCGTTTTTATGGTTTATGGAATAATCTTAAGTGTAAAATCACCAATTACAAAAGATATATACTTCGGCCGGAAAAATAATTTAAACACTTAAGATTTTGATGAATTTGTCAAAATTTTAACTTTGAATGCATATAAATATAAATGCCTATGTATCTTTAATATTTTTAACTTATTAAAGAAACTTATAAGGAACTTTGCATTACATTTTAAAGCTTTTTTACTTAGCGAAATTTTTTTAATTGAAAATAATTCAAAAAAATTTTCAAAATCGAAAAAAAATCAAGATTTATAAATGTTAGAATTTATGGAAAATGCTTATATAAGTATTTTTTGAAAATTACAAGTGTCTGGTTATTTGGTTTTGAGATTCACCCAACAAATAAAATCATTTTTTCAAAAACTGATTTTGAGAAAAAATTTCCGTTTTTGCACTTTCTTTTTGTTTTCCCCAATGATTTCTAAAACTACTAGGAATTTTCAATTTTGACCTCTCAAAATTACCAATAGATTCATTTTTTTTATCAGAAAAGATGCTGATTTAAAAAATTTTAGTATTTTTACTTTGTAAATACAATATAATATTCATTCACTACACTTGGAAAGTAAAATGCAAAGCTGACAATTATCATAATTTATAATTAATCAATTATTTCTGTTTATAGCATTTTAGTGATGAAACTCAAACCAATAGTACTCCAGAAAGTGATGAATCAATTACAAATCGTCATCATAATTTAAATAATAGTGATTCAAATATAAGACCTACATTTAATAACAATCCTGATTCAGGTTTTATAAACACTTTAAGATATGGCATGCTAGCTGTTAGATTATTACCCCAAACAAGCATATCAAGTAAGCAATTTTTTTAAATATATTTTTATTTTTATATGTTATATTATAGTTAAACAATATAAACAAATTTTGGTAACAATATTTTGAGAAATAATTCTGTAATTAAATATTTATTTAAAATTGGGTTATGTAGTTTCAACTAAATTTTTTCATGTAATTTTCTTAAAATTATAACTATCATAATATATTTAAAGTTTAAAACAATGTGTTTTTATATTTGGATAACACTTTTAGCTCCAAATTCACATTTGTTAATTAGAAAGTTGATAAACTATTTAATATTTATTTTTATTTTGACTGGCTTATTTTACTTATTGTTAATATCCATGTCTATAATAGATTTTGTGTTGAACTTAATCAGTAGCGGCTCCTGAGTAAATATTCTAGGGATACTGAATATGGCTTACAGTGATGTAATGACGACGGCACAGCGTTTAATGTCATGAACCCAGTTTTAATACCACCTGTAGTACGAGGCTTATTCTCCTCTGCCCCTCTGTCAACCCATGTTAACATTACTTGTTCTAATTAAAACTGTTGGATTGCAGTTTCACTGAATCGGCGACCAGTCCCTCAAATTACTAAAATAATATTTCTATCCAAAAAACTACTTATAGGTTATACATTTTGTGGCCTTCAATATTAATGGACAAAGAAAACAATATACCTACTTTTCAATTCAGATAAAAATAATTCTATACATTTGTATTTTTAATTAATTATTATTTTGAAGTAGCTAGTATTTTTTTTAATGGAAGATGCAGTTTAAAAATCTCCCTTGATGAGCCGCCACTGAATTTAATCATGTTCATATGTACCCATACATAGTATTGTGATACCTTTTTAACCAAATTTTCAACTAGTAATACTACTCTAAATCATTTAGTTTTCTTAGTAGATTCTGTCTTAAAATAGTATTTAAGTTGTTTATAACATTTATATTATAATATATTTATTTAGAAATTATCGAATAAGTATATTATGATGTAATATCTGTATATTAATATTACAATCATAAATATATAATATTATTCATGTATTTGATTTTTAATTTTAATATATGTAGTGTAACAATATTTGTTTTTTAGATTTAATTGTTATTACTGATGGGATGATTACTTTGGCTGACATACAAGTGCTTGATTCCGTTTTAAATCAATTAAGATGTATAAGTGTGGCATGCTCATTTTTGCATGTATCTAGTCAATTTCACCCACATTCAGGCCACGGGAATGTGCCTTACTCTGAGTTGATGCAGCTTATAGCAACAGCCACATCTGGTACTTACTTAAACTCATTTCCAAAAACAACACTTAATTTAGTTGTTAATTTTTATCATGATAAATTCATCATGTGGTCGTTTAAAAGAGGAGATGGTAATGGGTCTCCAAACAATACAACAAATCTTAGTTGCACACCTCCACGTGTTCGCCCCGGTGAATGGACAGTGAGGTATTTATCTATATTTTATTTGCACAATTAATATATACCTAATATATGACTGATCCATATTTTTAAGAAAAGTCAAAACCTAAAAATAAAGTAAAAGCCTTTTTTTCCCCATAAAAATTGAATATTGTAAAAATTGCTTTGCAGTAGATAATAATTTAAAAAATGGAAATAAATTTTCTACTAAATTGTTGAGATGAAGGATACTTTCATTTGATCGTTTTATACTTAGGCATAGTATTAAGTGATGGAATCCAATTTATTTTATAAGATCAACTTTGATATTTCATTAGCATAATATATTATTATGATAATTTAATACATACATTTTCTCCTCGTTTATTATTAACTTAAAATTAATTTATATTTTATTAAATAATAGCTTAATATTGAGAGTCTTGCTTATGAGTCAATATATAAGTTGCAAGTTGTAGCATATAATATAATATTTTTTAATTGCCATAACAACTTATAAGCATCTTTGTATTCCATTTTCAAGCATTTTTACCAAAAGAAATTGTGATCAACATTTATCAAAAAAAAAAACTAAAAAAATTATAAAATTTTAAATATCTTACTTAGCTTAAAACTGGCATAAATACTTTAAAAAAGTAATGAAGTATGAAAATAATTATTTAATCAATGGTATATTTCAAGTATTAAAGTACATATTTTTTGAATAACAACAAACTTACTATAATCATTAATTCTTCAAATCAAAAAAATCTTTATTTTAGGTATAAATATACAATTACATCAAAATTTGATTTGTCTGTTATACCCATTTTTAACAGTTAAAAGAACTAACAAATAATTAATTTTAGTTGAAAAATTATGATTTGTTTTAGGAATTCCAATTTTTATGGTAACAGACAAACACAATTGGTTTCTAAAAAACAATTTAGTGATCATATTCAAGCAAATCTTGATAATATAGTGTGTTGCCGTTTGCGCGAAGGATTTATTATTGAGGTATTTACATGACTTGAATTTTCCTATTTTCAGTTAAATAATATTCTTGTTTATAACAAGAATTTATTATTATTTGTATTATTAATAAATAAATAATTGTAGGATATACAATTCAAAGATGCAGGAAGTTCAACTATTTTTCCTTACATGAATAATTCTAGTAAACTACAATTAAAATTAATTTTGCCTTGGACTAATCATATTTATATTGAGTATGATATTACTGTAAAGTGGCCACCATCTGTAAAAAAAAAAATTGAACCAATTATTATTGAAGAAAAACCAGAATCAGTAGAACCATCTACACCAACAACACAACCACCTGCATCAATACAACTAGACAGTTTAAATATTTATTATACTGTTTCTGTCAAAGGTAAAACAATATACTAAAGTTCATTACTCTTACATAATTATTTATACTGATTCATTTATATTATAAATTGTAGGTCCATATGAGTTTCTACATGACATAACATGTACTAGAACTAAAAAAACTCAGTTATTGTCAAAAATACCTAGACAATGTCAATTTCAATTGTCGTCCTGCCGATCATCATCAATTTCTGTTGCTACTGCTACAACTACTATAACAAGAAATTTGAACTTGCTGCCAGATAGATCGTACAGTAGTATTGAAAAAAGAGTGACTTCTAAGTATAGACAAGCTTTGATTGCTCGATTTTGGTTAACTATGCGTTCTATAGCACAAACTGATCTACTAGTTAAACATTTGGAAGCATATTCTCCTAGTACAGGTCATTTAGTTAATTCTGACAACTGTAATCAACCCTTGGAACAGAATGAAATTATTCAAGATCAACAATTACAGAAACAAGATAGTCATCAAACAGTAGAAATAGAACCATTATTACAAGTTATACAAAATCTCAAAGTACTAGAAACAACTGACATTTTACAATTGGACGAATCTAGTAATTTAAATAGTAACAACTCTAAAACAGACACAGTGTTTAGTACCGAGAAAACAGAAGCAAACCCTCTTAGTTTTTTGGCATCTGAAGTTCCAAATAAAAGTCCTTTACACAGTGGTGTACCATTATTCTATTATTTGGCAACAAATTCAAACACATCATTTAGCTTAAAACAGAATCAATTTAAAACAGAGTAAGTATTTAATTGCTTTTTTTGATGTTTAGTGTAAATTTATAAAATATATAATGTATTTTAGTGATCAACAACAAAGTTACACTGATCAACAACATCAACGATTTGCCGATTTTTGGAAACCTGTTTGTACCTTAGACCCTGATACTCAGTGGCCAAAATGGTTTTCCACTTATAGAATTGGTGGTGGTGTATTATTGCTGAGACATGATCGACCGTTACCACATTGGTATCGTAAGGAAAATACAGATAATGATAGTTATCAAACCCTGACTTGCACTAAATCATCTGTTTCACTTTTCGCTTTGCTCAAGCAATGGTGCACATTTGTTTTAATTGATGAACACTCTTATGTAAAATGTTTAGACCAAAGGTAAAATTGTATACAGATATTAATATATTTTTATATTGAACTTTTGTTTTTTTTTTTTGAATAGTGAAACATATACTGATGATGTATCATTTTGTATTGCACGAGTTTCACCTAGGCCACCATCTTGCTGTTGTGTTGTACTGCATTTAGCGTTTCAAAGTTGTGTACCAGCTTCAGTCCACCATAAGGTTTAAATAATTAATTGATTATTATTATTAAAAGAGTTTATTACATTTACTTTTACTTATAGATTATTGATGATTTGAAAAATAATATTGAACTATTGGATTCAACTACTGCAGTGAAACCGTCTTCTGAAGATAACAACCAAGGGACTGAAGATCAAGAAAATAGGAAAAAAACAACTAAAACAATTATTGTTGAAGAATTGATAACACCAAATAAACCTTCAAGACATCAAAGATATGTGTATTTAATGGATAAACCGCTTGAGAAGATTTTAATTAGGTAAAGGTTATAATAGGAATATTTTAGTTAATTGTAATATTCATAATCAGAATATATTTTTAAATTTTATTATAATTCAAGATATGAGCGGATTCCTTCAGAATTCACCACGGTCATATTTCCTGATGGCTCACAACCCTCTTCTGCTATAACAACAATAAATATACAAAAGCCGAGATCTAAATTAAGTATTGGACTTCCTCTTAATACTGTTCATGAGTCATCAACTGAAGGAGAATCAAAAGCTGTATCAACAACGACTACTCTTTCGCGTTATTTGTATCATAAACGGTGGATATGGAGTAGTGAATGTAGTCGCTATAGTCAATGTAGTAATAGTGTGTGTCAAAAATTACAACTACAATTGCAATTAGCACGTACTTTATCAGTGTTGACAAGGTATAATATAAATATTATTATTAAGATTTACTTGTTATAACTGCGAAACATATTGTCTCTACGAATATTTTCATGCAAACTAAACCACTCATTGCATAACATTTTTTAGTGATTAAATGAGGTATAAAAATTGTATTTTCATTTTGAAAACACGAGACTTGAAGGTGTACTTGTATAGTTTAAACTTCTATCATTTATAAATTATTTTTAAAATAAAAATACTAGAAAATTCATCTGCCCTTCCATTAAAATATCCAAAAATAACTTCATTGTTCAAAGTCAAAATCATTTGCTTGCGCGGCTGTTATGAAATTGAATAAAGTGTGCTTTATAAGATGATTGATATATTTTCAGTTATTCTATAGTATATGGCAATTATATAGCTTGTGCATGGAAATATCCATCTTGTTTTATACTTTTATATATAATGTCATCTCATGTAATTACTTCAGGTATAAATTGTTTAAAAATTTACATTTTATTATTTTATGATTTATTGTTATTATAAAAACCGGGTATTGGTAATCTAACTCATTACTCATTACTCATTTAATGCAAAGTAGATTTATTTTATTATTATTAATACAAAAGCAGTATTAAATCATCTAAAACAAAAAATAATTTGTAGTTCAGCTATGTTAAAACAGCACAAAGATTTCTTTAAAGATGTGTATGTTTTATATTTTACATGTCATATATTTAATTACTTTAAGGTACTTTTGGAGCATTAAGTCTACCGGATTAGTGTTTTGAGATGTATAAAATATTTTACAATCAAAACATTTCTCATAAATGATAAAGGAAGGTTTATTTAAAATATATTATGATCTATTCAAATTTTGACAATTCCCTTTGTTAATATACATACTCTTTAGGTAAACTGTACTAAATGTTTTATTTTACCTTGATGTCAGCTATACTATTTTATTTATAGTGATAATAACTGATACATGTATTTAGAATAATACACTTTTATATTAAATGTTTTATCAGGCTATCTATATATTTTTGTTTATTTAATTTTTTAGAATACGATTGAGAGAAGGTTTCAAATTTGCACATTCATCTGCTGGTATTATAAACATGGTTTTAGAAGTAGACATGATAGAAGTTAGTATACCATACATCATATTTTTATAACAAATCACTATAGATTAAAATAACAAAAAAAAAATGTAAAGTTTAAGGTGTAATTGCTTACCCAATAGTATACTAAGTACAAACATTTTATAATGCTTTAGATTACAATTTCATTTATAGTCAAATGATTTTTTTGTTCCAAGTTTTTGTTGGTTCATATTTATTATATATCTACAAAGTTCATAATTTGTAAATAAAATATAAATAATTGCTTATTTTTATAGTACTTGATACTACTATATTCATTGTTCAATATACCTATAGTATCAAATTTAATTACTGATTCATTTTTTATTAGTATAAATAAAAAAATAAATATATATTTTAATTTTACCAAAAAACAATTTTTATGTTTAAAAATCTAATACTTTACTTCCATACAAAATAATAAAATATTAATTTGACCGGAGTATTAAAATAAAAGTATACATAATTATTATTTTAAGTTAAAAAATGTGTAATTGAATATTAATAATTTATAAATAATTTATAATACATAATATCTATTTATATTTAATATTATAACTAAAATATTTATAAAAATAATTAATTATTTAAATATTTAAAAATAAAATAAGTTATTCTTTAAGAAATAAATGAATTATATTATATTCTAGGGATCACCCCACTGTCCTAGTACGCCTACAAGCCATTGTGTCATACAGTATGTTTTATTCCCGCCTAACAAACTACAAAAACAGCAACAAAAAACTTATGAATATAATAGTGTTTTTGATCAATTAAACATGGAAAACAATGACGATGAAAGATCATCAATATTGTCAATTGACGAGCAGCAAAAGTTTGAAAAACGTCAAAAACAAGGAAAACATATAGTTTCCTTTGCCGGTGATAGTAATGATTGTTGTTTAAAACATAGAACAGAAGACGAATATCAATTAATAACAGAATGTTGGATCGAGCCACAACATGGAACCGTGGTAGTTAATAAAACACAAAATTATAATTATATGTCTGGATTGATGTATGAACAATTAGCAGATGCGGTGAGTAAATAACAATTGTTTATTTAATTTTACATATATTTATTTATTTTAAGATGAATGGATGGATAATTACAGACTACTATTTGTAGATAATTTATGCTTAAGTCTCAATTGCTTGAATCTCAAGGAGGGTTAAATATAAATGTTGCTGTATTTTATTGTATCATAGTACAATTTAACGGTACTTTTCAATTTATATACCTCCAATATAACTTATAAACACTTTAAGGGGCATGTAAAACATTTGAGTTATTTGGTTTTTTGAGATATTTAGGTTCTAGTTATCGTAACTCGACTGTATAGCTAATCATTAGGAGAACAATTAAAGAGGCAACTCATAACGCATTTTAGCATTTGTTATACATGATAAACTTTTCAAAATATTTTGACTTGTTTTGAACCATTTATAAGCATTTAAAATTAAAAACGTTAGTTTTTTTTTTTTCTATAAATGTTAATAAAATGTTTTCATTGGTTCAAAAAGCAAAAATTTAATAAGGTCAGGTGGGTTAAGTGAAACGCCAAGTTTACAATTTTAGATTTAACTGAATTTATGTATTTATGACCTTAGAAATAGATGATATCCATTATATAGGAAACCAAGAATAAAAATATGTTCTAAAATCTGATCTACTATCATTACTTAAAAACAAAAAAATAAATTTAATTAAGTACTTGAGCAAATAGATAGGGTAAGTAGAAAATAGTCAACTAACTAATGCCTAACATTCATATTAATGTTAATTTTTACCATTACTACATGATTTAGATCAAGAAAAATCAAATTATTTTCCATGCAGGGCAAGTGAAACACATTATTATGCGCTTCCCCCGTATTGATTTTTTCACTTGCCCCATTATTAATTTTTACGAGGAAAGTGAATAATTGATCAATTATTACAGAAAATTACACAAAAGAGTAATTTTTAATGTTTCATCGTAAAATACAAATAAAATAAAATATACTTTCTATGTTTTGAAGATCAAGTTTATGATAACAACTAAAAAAAATATAATACATATTATGATAACAGAATATATTTTTATTATGTGATAACATAAGTTGTATACACGGTAGAGTGTAAATCTTTATATTTCCGTATTTAAAAGAAATTGTACATATATAATAACATAATAATAATAACATAATATGACAGTGTGACTTTTAGTTCAATCATATTTTTGTATTTTATGTGACTCAATTAGCCACTTATCCTAGTTCTTCACTTATCCCACCTGAGTACCTGACCTTACAAGGTTCTTCATAAATTGTTGTAATAGCAGTTGGAAAATATTGAATATGCTTTTTTATAAGCATTCAAAGAGAACATTTTGACAAAATTTATCAAAATCTCGAAAATTTACAAATTATTTTGTAGTTAAAAATGTATAAAATGTTCAAATTGTATAGCCCTAACTATAAATAACTAATAAACTTTAGATTGAAAATTTAAAACGAGTTTACTCATAATAGTTAATACTGTAACCAAAAAATCTATAAAATGTATAAACACAGATTTTTTTTATAGATATTTTATGTTCAAATTTAGACTAAATTAGATGTTTAAACAAAGAATAACAATTTTAGTTATTTTGTTGTAATTTAAAAATATTATTCAATGTACTTGAAATTTTTAAAGTAGTTTATTATATTGTATAGTGTATACAGACAATGACATTTTATTGGCCAAAATTAATTCAACATACTGAATAACCAATGCTACTAGTAAAATAAATTATTTATTCAGTTATATTACTATAAAATATTCTTAGTAATATAGGATGACAGTCAGTCTTCAATCAGAATCGTTTCTTGTATTCAATGATTTTATATTAATTCAAATTCAATACATCCATTACAGTGATCCTTCTAGACACCTACTGTACAGTAGAGCGGTACACACATGCATTCCTTTTTATCAATTAATAACATAAATATTTACATAATATATTGATTATTAGGTATCTCCAAGAGTGGACTGAGACCCACACTATTACAACCTTAATTTTGACTTTTAGTTACTACCATTACTTGTTATTTATCTTGTATTTTAAATCATAAATCATAGGTAAAATCTAGAGTATAAATGTGATAGATCAATGTTTAAAATAGAAAATTCCCAGTAGTTTTCATAAATTGATAAAAAACAAAAAAAAATTTAGGATGAATGGGAATTTTTACTTTTTAGGCTAAAACCAATTTTTGACAAAATATTTGAAGTACCAATTAAATTTAATCTAAAAATGTATAATTAACAAATGTACACTTAAAATTAACAAAATTATAGTAAAATAGTTAAAAATTTTCAAATAAAAATGTATGTTTTTAATTCTCTAATGTATGAAACGGATTTTGTACTTGAACAGAATTATCTGAGATTTCCCCAAAAATAATGCAGTTTGCACTAAATTTCACTTACCCTAGTTATAAGTCCCAGACAAACATTTTTTGTTTAATAATATTACTATAACATTGTAATCAGGAATAATATTAGTTTAGCGTTATTATAATTCTATCATAATATTTTCGCTACAAAATGCTGTCTGGGAGTACTTAAAGTTTAGTTGAGTAGAGTGGATCATGTTGGTACACTGATCTACCAAGTTATTCTAAATAGATGTTTTAAAAAAATCGTCAAAAAGAATAATATTATACTAGATGGATAATATTGTACTAGCCCTGGGGAGATAATATGACATTGGCCCACTGTGCAATTTCACAGTAACACATTGGCCCAGTCTACCCCTTGGTATCTCACAAGGAAGTGCATTGATAAAAGCACTATTTAAATAGATTAATGTTCATTAATTGATTTACAATCAATTGCAATTATAAAAACTATGAAGGAATTGAATACAAATGAGATTATAAACAAATGATAAACTTATGAAAAATTGTTATAAATTACATTTTGACTATTGACTGTTCGAAATATACTCTTTAAACAATTTAACATAGTTATAAATATAGTATGTGTATTATACAGTAATATTGGAAAATAAATGTAATTACTTATAATTTAATATAATATCATGGCCTATTTAGTTATGACATTATCAATAGATTTACATATACTACAATAAAACATTATAAGTGTTTTGTAAATATTCTTTGTATGTCTAAGACATTTAGACATAGATAATATGTATTGAGTCATAGATAATATGAAAAATATAGTTATAACTCGTATAGAAGTGTGGATATAATATAAGAGAACAGAATATTATATTATATTGTTTTGAGGATTTTAAAACCCACCTGTCTTCACATAGGTTTTATATGTTTGTTGATTAAGTTATTAAATGTAATGCCTAAGTCACACCTATATAAATACGTTAGTATACAGGATAATGTAAAAAATACAGGCAAAGGTACTAATCAGTAATCACTAAATAGGAATTAACATAAATCGATAATAGCAGTTACTATGGAAGTATAATATAATATATATATTGTCTAATATTAATAGCAATTTTGAAATAGATTAAAATAAGCTATGTACCTAATAGTACCTAGTAAAGTACGAAAGAGGAAGGAAGACGTGTTGTATTATTTCATTAATCCACCTTATTTTTTTTCATCATCGCGTTTTTATCTTTATAACTAAACAAATAAACAAATATTTATTCATCGATAACAATACCGGGTTTTCGACCCTCCTACTGAGGTGCGTTATTGGATAACTGCTTGTTTGCTGTGTATAAACTTCGTCATTGTCAACGCGTGTGTTAAAATATTTATCACGTACAGATAATACGTAAAAAAAATTAAAACTTAAATATTTCACTGACGAAATAATACGAAAATATGTTCATCAAAATATATCATAATATAATATACATTATTTGTATTAGTACCTATTTATACGTGTGGGTGATTATATTAATACTTTTTGTATAGGTATAATATGCGTTTTATAAAAAAAATTATTATAGTCATAGTTATCATAAATTTATTTCTAATTTCCTTATTTTCTTATTCTTCTTATTCTCTCGTTAATGACCTCTTCGGTGGTTAAAGGGGTAATTGCCGAATTCGCATACCTACTACAAATTACAATGTATTGACAACATGTATATGTATATTCATTCAATATATCTTATAATATGGCTGTGTACTGTACGTCTGCACTACTGAGTACATATTATTATACTTTTCAAAATAGCAAATATTATGTTCAGAATAATCTATTTTACTTTGTTATTTTCAAATTTCAATATTAGAGTGCAATTACCTATAGTAAAAAATAAAGGTAATAATATGAAAATAGGGCCTCGTGTATGCTTTTTTTCATATTTGAATTTATGCATGTTATGAATACTTATTTAAAAATGTACAATTGTTAACAGCTTCCGTGCTGTTAAGGTATATCGTCCTCAATCGAGGGTTAAACATAAAAAACCCATAGACCCATTTATATACAACATAAAATGGTACTTGTAAAAAGTATTAGTTACCACTATATTAAAGTATTTTCATGTTTTTATATACCTAGTGATAAAAATAAACTATAAAGAGTAGAACACTCAACATCCTGCGTGTGTATACACTACTGTATACTTAGGACCGATGGTGTATTTACGGCGAGAGTTCCATGCGATCCGAACCACCCCGACCATTAGAAATTGATGTATTCAACAATGTTAAATTTCGTAGTTTTACGACTTACAAAAAAAGTTGTTATTAGTGTAATTTAAAAAAATTTAGCTTCAATTCACAATACAATTGTATGACCTTCTGAACTCCGAAGTTAAAATGTTGACAAAATTCGTCAAAATCACGATTATTAGTGAATTTTTTTGAATTAGAAATTAGAAAGTTTTTTATACAGAACATTTAAAAATGTAATACAAGGTACCTCATAAGTTTTATTACAAAAAAAAAGTTTTCTTTTCTTTTAGTCTTTTCTTTTAGTTTTTTAGAAAGTCAAATTAATTTTTGTAAGCGTTAACATTTTTTCGGCAAGATGTTCACTTTTTTCTTCACCAAGATTTCTCAT